CCCGCCGCTTATCCCCAAGCTGCCCCCTACCCTGCTCCCAGAACCCGTGGAGGCAGCAGGCCCTGCTGACACGGCTGGCGGGACCTGCACATCCCTCTCTTCACTCCATCCCTCAGTCAGATTTTCTTAAAGCTGTAGGTCTCCATAGAAGGCAGCCGGCAAGTTTTCAAAGTCAGGGGGTTATAGAGGAAGGCACGCTGCTAGTTAGTGAGGCAGCGCCGACCCACCCAGCAGGTTCCCGCTCCCCAGCCTGACCAGCCAGGTGCCCGGGAGCAAGTCTCTTGGCCTCTCCTTTCCTTCATCCTGTACCTCAGGGGATGAATATGAGGATTAAGTTAGTACATGTTTAAAGCACTGAGTGCAGTTTCCGTAGGCACTCAAAAATGGTACCCATCGTTAGAGCAGGAATCACATCCTTGGAAAGTTGAGGACGTGTATTTGCTGCCAAAGGCATGAATGACTGTTTTTTCTGCCTGTAGGAAGTAATCAGTAGTTCCCCAAATGTGTATGTCATGATACATATTTAATGTATTAAATATATATTTAACGTATTTATATATATATTGATCTATATACATAGATCTATAAATGTTCAATGTATATATATTTAAATGTGTATAGATGTGTGGATTTGAAGCCTGAATCTTGAAAGCAGCCCCGGCTCTAAATCCTCTCTGGGAAGTTGATTGTTTTCCCTGGTGGACACAGAACTGAAGGCACCTCGGCCCGTCTCTCCACTAGGTGGTGATCACGGCAAGAGGATGCTCACAGGCTTAGCAGAGCTTTTGTTATTTTTTCAGTGTGGTTTGGTGCTTTATGTCACTTTTTCCATGAGAGATACTAAAGGAATTTTTATGTTTGAGCCTCTCCCTCCAATATGAAAATCCAGCTAGTGCCCACATGCTGCCAGCTCCATCGGGGCCCCTGCAGCCCCTGCATCTGGAGCGGTCCACCCTCTTGGGAAAGGAAGCTTATAGGGAGACCAGGAGGGAGCCTTTGCATTGTGACTCTGTGTCGATTGCATTTCCTAAGAGCAAAGTGATGTTTTTTTCTTTGTTTTTCCCTTCTGTGTTCTTTGCCTGCTCAGAAATGGGGGGTTTTGGTGTTTTTTTTAATACCATTTTTAAAGTATGAAGTTAAAACATGTTACAGAAAGTTAGGAAATGTAAGTTGAAGGAAGAAAATTTAAAAGCATTCTCAATTTCACAAATCCAGAGGCAGTCACTGGTAACACTTTGGTATGTTTGTTTTTCTATCTTCTGGGATTTTTTTTTTTTTAATGCATTTATAGCTTCTTAAAAAAGAAAGAGAAAGAAAAGGAAAGAACTGTACTGTGTGATTACATAGTTTTGTATCCTGCTTTAAAAAATTTTTTTCATTATGTGGTATTTCCCTGTGTCATTAAATATCCTCCAGAAGTATGATTTATTTTAACGGCTCCATCATATGATTTCTTCTTGTCGGACCTTTGGGTGGTTTCTGCTGTTTTGTTATTATAAATAACCGTAAATATCCTTGTACATATACCTCTGTGAATTCCGGGTGTTTCCTCGGGGTAGCTTTTTGTAAGTGGAATTTCTAGGTCAGAGGGTGGGAACTTTTTTAATATTGCCAAATACTTCCCAGAAAAGGTAAACCAATTCCTGCTCTAATCAGTGGTATGTGAAAGCGCCCTCTCCCGCGTGGGAGGTCGGAGGTCACTGCCTCTGGTGACAGGACCCTGCTGGAGTCTTAGGAAAGGGAGTGATGAGAGGGGGTAGGGTTCCCTCGACCAGCCCCTTTCCCTGACAGTGCCACGAACTCCTGGGGAACCTGCTCTGATCTCGGCCTCTTTCTATCAGCTTTCTTATCGGCCTCTGAGTCCAGGGGCCCATGAGATACCCATCACCGTCAGGGCTAGCGCACACCGTGCATCCCGTAAGCAGCTCTGAGGCTGACGTGTGACACTCACGGGGGTTTGTGTGATCTGTCCCCCAGGGCTCTGAATGGAATGCATCCAATCTGGAGGAACTGCAGGGCTCAGGGTGAGTCTGCTCCCCTTGTCTTCCCTCATCCTTCCAGGCAGCTTAGAAACACTCAGCTCAGCCGTCCATTTGAAGCCCAGCCCTGGCGCTGCCTGCCTGCCTGGAATTGCCCACCCCAATCTCCAAAGCAGCTGCCGGCCTGATTTGCATAGCTAAACAGATGTGCTTCAAAATGCCACCTCCTGAATAATTCATGGGTTTTAGATTTTACTGGGGTTTAGAAATGTGTGTGTCAGGGAGAATGATTCTAAATCACCCTCAAATAGTATAGGACAGCCTGGATGCTGATGCGGCCACGAGCCCCCCCCCGCCCCGCCCCGCCCTGCAGAGATGCTGAGAGCACCAGTGTGGACACACTTACCGGTGGGCCAGTCAGCAACCCTGCTCCCCGGACCACTCCTGGTTCTCTCTGTGGTTGTACTTTTGAGCCTGGTGGGAATCTTGCAGCTAAATGCTCAGCGTTGGCCAGAAACACGTGCCTGTCTCAATCTGAGAAATACTCAGCAGCAGGGATAAAAAATGCTTAAACCTAGACCTTCAAGAACAGATGTCTGGACATTTTTTAAAAAAACAACACAGCCACAAAATCACCATCCTGTGGGTCTGACATGATGGCATTCTTGAATTACTGCATTTAAAAGTCAAGACTAAACAAAATCTTAAAATATATCTTTAGAACTACTGGTTAAGATGTGTTCTTTCAAGAGAAAGTGGTCTTAAAGTATAGGGTGATGCTGTCTATGCTTTATCTTGCTGGGAATAAATAAATGATTTTAAAGGTTTATCTCTTTTTTCCAAAGCATTTATAAGTATTGCTCTTATGAAATCTATTTGAGGTGTTTTCAAACTCCTGAAGTTATGTTGGTCTTCCAGGAATGTAAGTATTAAGGTTAGAGAACTATAGAACCTGAGTTAGCTGGGTTAGCAGACCCTCCCAACTATAGTATTAAGGTTAGAGAACTATAGAACCTGGGTTAGCTGGGTTAGCAGACCCTCCCAACTATAGTATTAAGGTTAGAGAACTATAGAACCTGAGTTAGCTGGGTTAGCAGACCCTCCCAACTATTTATTTATTTACAGCCTGCCTCGTTTCAAAAAGGAGTTAAGGCAGTTCCCAAGGACATAAAAAATGGATGGATATATTCAGCCTTTTAACTACTTAAAAGTGGAGACGTTGGTTTTATTTATTTATTTATTTATTTATTTATTTATTATTTACTTTTCTTTTGCTGTACGCGGGCCTCTCACTGTTGTGGCCTCTCCCGTTGCGGAGCACAGGCTCCGGATGCGCAGGCTCAGCGGCCATGGCTCATGGGCCCAGCCACTCCACGGCATGTGGGACCTTCCCGGACCTGGGCACGAACCTGTGTCCCCTGCATCGGCAGGCGGACTCTCAACCACTGCACCACCAGGGAAGCCCTGGTTTTATTTTATGTTTTTAAAAGCCTCTGTATACTCGTAATAGTTACGAATTTTGAAACTTTAAAGGAGTTAAAAAATGTATTTAGGTAATATGTGTGATTACTTTCCAGAATTAACATTACTTAGCAATGCTTTGGACGGAGCTTTCTTTTTATAAGTTTTTTAGGCAGAAATTTGTTTTTTATCATAAATATAATGTATTCTCATCATGTAGAGGGTATTTAGAAGATACCAAAAAAAACCCCCAAAGACCACCACTATGAAGTCCTGCCATAAAAACACAGACCCTTTATAAATGTGTATTTAATTTTTTCTCTGCTCAGTTTGTCGTTACTTTGGTTTTTGTTGATGCACATTCTGATTCTCCAATTTGTTCTTTTTTTTTTTTCCTCATTGCAGTGTTGACTACATTTTAAACGTCACTAGAGAAATAGATAATTTTTTCCCTGGCTTATTTGCGTATCATAACATCCGAGTCTATGATGAAGAGACCACAGACCTCCTTGCCCACTGGAACGAGGCGTACCATTTTATAAACAAAGCAAAGTAAGTGGGCGGAGAAGTCAGAGAAACCAGGCTGGGGAAGAAGCTGACCGGCAGCCGCAGGGGGGGCAGACATTAATGTGACCCCAGACACAGCTGCCTCCTGGCGTGAGGGGCCTGTGGCGTCTGATGGGCCTCTGGTTTTAGAGTGCTGGACCCCAAGCATCGAAAGGGCCAAGTCACTGATCTTCTCCAGGGGTCCCCAAATGAGCTCGTTCTCTTTCACCTGCCGTGACATTTGACCCCCGTTTTGTCATTAGCACTGGCTTCAGGCAAGGCCCCTGTACCAAGCGGACACTCTTGGGAGCTCTGCGCATGGGGAGTCACAGAGCCAGAGGAGAGAGGAGGGCGGGCGGATCGTACGTGACTCAGAGCACCTTTGGGACTGCTTCCCTGGAGAAATCTACTCAGAAATCTACTCGGGCAGATGCCCTGAGCTGTGGCCCACCTCCACCTGAGTTAGTGTGACTCCTGTTCACGTAGAATGGGATGGACCATCAGAGGTCCCCACTGCCCCGAGCCTGTCACTGCTGTCACATGTCTTTTGTCCTCACCTTATTCTCCTGTGGAACAGCTCTGTCTCACTGAAGTCAGGACCAGAAAGAGACAAGAGATGCTCTCAAGAGACACGTCCTCTTCTGCTTTGCACCCAGGTCAAAGCTCCATGATGTAGGACCAAATCTTAGTTCCCCTGGGTTCCTGGGGGATAGACTTTGGCAGTCCAAAAAAACCCCTGAGGTTTGAGGATGAACTTTAAGCTTGGGGTATAGGAAATGAGCCTGCTCCCGCCGAGCAGGTGTGCTGCTTCTAATGTAAACAGGTAGGCTGGCCGGCCTACCTCCTGTACAAATAAACTTTCACAGGTGCAGCCCTCCCCAGCCTGGTGCCCCTCACCTTTGTGAGCAGGCGACAGCTAGAGCAACAGTGTTCCTGGCCTTGCCCTGTCTGTTAAATCAGCCTCGCCTGGGCTGGTACCGTCTCCCTACAGAAAGCCTATTGGCCCATCTGTTTCCTTTGGCTTCTTTCTCTGGTGGCCAAGTCAAGTGCTGCGGACTCACGCTGGCTCCTTGACTCTCCTGTTTGCCGAGGCACTCTCTCTGCCAGGGGCCCAGTGGCTTTCAGTTCGCTGACCCTGTTTCTCTACAGTAACCTGCTCCCTGTCTCCATCTGCTCTAGCAGCTGAGTGAGTTGCTTGCGCAAATACCCCTTTCGCTGCCCGGTTGCTTCCTGCCCAAGGGGCTCTGGTCTCCTGGCCGATCCCAGCCACCTGGGAAGGCGCCCGAATGGGGAGCTTTCTCCCTGCAAAACTTGGCCAGGCCAGGCCAGATGGATCTCGATTTCCCACTGTATGCTAATTGATTTTGAAGTGAAGTTATTTCCTACTGAGGGTGTGTGGACGTCTGCTGCCTAAACATCAGGACCTCAGAGGGTTTGGGCAGTGAGATAACTTCAGGGTTTAAAAAAAAAGATCCATTGTGCCAGATCTGAGAGAATGCAGTTGTATCAACTTTTGCCTTCTCCCCCTACCCCCACGGCTGCAGGAGGAACCACTCCAAGTGCCTGGTACATTGCAAAATGGGCGTCAGTCGCTCTGCTTCCACGGTCATAGCCTACGCGATGAAGGAATTTGGCTGGCCCCTGGAGAAAGCCTACAACTACGTGAAGCAAAAACGCAGCATCACACGCCCCAACGCAGGCTTTATGAGGCAGCTGTCTGAGTATGAAGGCATCTTGGACGCCAGGTGGGTGCCTGTCTGCAGAGAAGAATTGGCAGAACCGAGCTCCCGAAGCCCTGCCGCCCAGCCGGCCGGGGCTGCCGGCCACACCCCAGCCGTGCTCCCGTTTGGCCCAGCGGTGGCTTCCACAGCCAAAATCCTGCCTCTTGGGGTGGCGGGGAGCCGGTTTGAGAAAAACAACCATTGTTTGGGGTTTGATTAGTGGTTTCCAGGAGGGATCTGTGCTTACTGTGTTGGCACACACATAAAGCTGTTTTGCAGCTGGAGGGAGCAGGGCACGGCTTCTAATCCAAGGCAGGACTCCGTGTGAGTCTCGGCCCGGGGCTGCCCCGTTTCCTGAGCACCTGCTCTGTGCCAAGCCCGTGCCAGGCTTCACCACAGGGCAGCTGCAGGGACTGCAGAGGCAGACCCGGGCCCACCGCTGACGAGCTGGTAGCTCAGGGCAAGCTCATCGATCTTCCCCCCCACCCCGCCTCAGTCTCCTCTTCTGAGTTAAGAACTAATCCCGCTGATAGGATTGTTGTAAAATTTCTGCGAGCACCCGGCTCAGGGTCAGTGATGACATAGCTGCTTTGTAATTCTCTACCCACCACCTCCACCCACCCACCCCACCATGAAAAAGGTCTGCAGAGGACAGGGGATCCCCCATTTATGGGGAGTAAGGAACTGACGCTGGAGGTTAAGGTGTCCCGTGTCACACAGCCAGTGGGCGGCCCAGGGATCGGGGGGCATGCCCGGGTCTGTCAGCCTCTGGGGCTCCCGTGCAAGGTGATCCTGCCCCCATGGAGGGGTCCCCCAGTGACCCCAGGTGGATCGCTGCTGAACTTAGGGACTCACTTTCCCCCTGTTCCTTTTCTGTTCAGTCTGTCCAAGGCCTCCCTGGGTTGTTTCTGCCCGGTGTTGTGAGGAGGCCACAGGCTAAGTCCACCAGCTTCTTGGCCACGTTTGGGGAAGCAACTGGCGGGTCTGGAGAACAGCTCCAGACATCTCTGGACTCCTTCACTGTCAACCAGAGAGCGGCTGGACAGGTGCTCAGGCAGGGCCAAGGGGGACGAGGTGGGGAGGGGGAAGGGGCACATCCTGCTCTCGCCTCCAGTAATCCTTCAGTCATTTGCTGCCATCAGGGGTTTGCAGGCTAGCCAGGGGTTGCCAGGCCAGGTTCACAGCAGCACAGCACTGACCTTGAATTATAGCCCTGTCTGAGGGCCCACTTGGCCTTGCGCGGAACGTGCACACAGAGCAGATGGCCGTGAATGACCGTGTTGCTCCCTCACATTGAAGAGCAACAGAAAACCCTTAGTTTGTACGTCCTTTTATGTTTACTTCTTTCTCCTCTTAACCATCACAACCCTGGGATGTTGGTGATCCTCTGAGGTTAATGGAGGTGACTCATTTACCTGATTTCACTCTGAACCTCTTTCTTCTTTTTTTTTTTAACCCTCACGTTTAAGAAATGTGTCATAAAAGTAATAACACAGCATTAGAAGACTTATTTTAAAAACTGACCTGTAATCTCTCTGACCTACACAAATATTTCCAATTTTCTGGCATCTCCCCAGCTTTATTCAGGTGCATTACGTGTTTACATGGTCACGTTAGTGTGTGTAAGTCTTTATCGACTCTCTACTTTAATCCTCGTTATTTCCCTACGACGTAAGTAGGAGAGGATGGGGTTTCTTATTTGACAGATGGGGAAACAGAGACGGAACATCCGTGGCATGACCAGGTTCTCCAGGAGAGCTGGGACACTAGGACCATAATAGAATTCCAGGTCCAGACCCCCTTCCCATGTCTGCGATATCCTCATCACGTGACAAAGTTGTTTACGTGATCCCACATGGATCATACGTGTGGGATGCCATATGTACGGGAGCCATGATGACTTAGGGGCCTAAGGCTATTTCCGTCATTCTCGAATTTCTTGGGGATAAATGAATCGAGAGAGGCTTTACCCAGGTGAGCCCCTGGTGTCCACCCGGGCCTTGGACTGCCTCTTGCTGGCTCCCCACCCCCTTCCTCCCAGGACCCTTGGGCACTGGCGTCTGCTGACCTTCCTCTGCCTTCCTTCCCCAGCAAACAACGGCACAACAAGCTGTGGCGCCAGCAGCCTGTGGATGACCCAGCGGGGCCTGGGGACTTCCTGCCGGAGACCCTGGACGGCACCCCGGAAGCCCAGCCGCCCTGCCTGGACGCCGCCGCCCAGCCTGGGTTCCCGGGCAGCGGGACCCCGGGGGGACCCGCTCTCCCCTGCTGTCTCCGGCGACTCTCAGACCCCCTGTTGCACTGCCCCAGAGACGAGATGGGCGGCTGGGTCCACCTGGAGGATCTGGAGAGGGATGCTCTGCTGGAAGAAGCCGCTCAGCCGGCAGAGGCATCCAAGCCGGCCGGACACGCCCCAGGAGGTCCTGGACTCTGTGAGGAGGAAGTGAAGAAGAAACTGGAGCGTGGGAGCCCCCAGGCCCGGGGTGGCTCGTCGCCGCAGGTGGAGGAGATGGAAAGGGAGGAGGCCCCGGGTGCAGGGAAGTGGGGGCAGCCTGTTACTGAGCTCGATAACCTGCTGAATTGGGAAAACCTAAATAACAACAACAGCAAGAGGAGCTGCCCAGACGACTTCGAGGTAGGCCTGGGGCCACAAGGGGGTGGCGGCATGCATGCCATTTCTGCCCTGGGGGCAGCCCCCCCAACAGCTGCCTCTGCCAGCTCAGTGGGTGGCTTTCCGCGCGATTCTGCAGGCCGATGGGGATGGTAGACGACGGAGGACCCGGGACCCCTGGGGAATGGTGATCATCCCCCATGCCACCTTCACCCTGGTGCCTCATTCACGTCTGAGGCAGAGTTTCAAAGTCTTTCCTTTTTTCTTATGTAAAACATAAAACACATAACTTATGGGAATTTCCTGGTGGTCCGGTGGTTAGGACTCTGCGCTTCCACTGCAGGGGGCCCAGGATCGATCCCTGGTCAGGGAATTAAGATCCCCCATGCCACAAGCCATGGCCAAAAAACCCCCCACAAAACATAACTTATCACTCAGCTTCAGCCTTTACCAGTGTATGGCTTTTCTTCCTTTCATCTCACCCCCATCCGCGTTCCCATACCCTGGATTATCCTGAAACAAACCAAATCCCAGATCTGTCGTTTCCATCCCAAATGCTTCCGTTTATAACCTAACCATAACACCGTCGCCACCTTGAAAAAGCCGACATCATCAAGTATCTAGTCTTGCAACTCAGACTCTAATGCTTAATTAACTTCAGCAGTCCCTTGTAGCTCTCATACTTGGTGGGTTATTTGCAACAGGGCTTTTGCCTCAACCTGCCACTTGCTCAGAAAATCAAGAATTCCTCCAGCCTTTTTCCTCCTCCAAGTGGCCCGCGCGTGGAGGCTGGTTTCGTGGAAGGACGTCCTCTGTTGCCTGGTCTTGGGTTCTGCCCTCGCTCTGCTGCTGGCTCACCCTGGCCCGGGGACAAGAAGCGTCATTTCCCGTGGCCTGACCACCCACCTCCCGGGCCAGCTGTGATTCTCTAGCAAGAGCACTGGGAGGCAGATAGAGGCATCCCCTTGTATGGAGAGTTCGCCCACACCACGTTATAATGCAAACAAAACTGGGAAGTTAAATCTCCCGTACTCCAAATCAGGACCCAGATTCCAAACTGAATAGTAATTACTCTCGAATTTCCCTCACCGCTCACCTTCCCTTTAAAGAGCAAATGCCCATCAAGATAGATGATATAAAACCTCTCTGTCTGGGACAGTGGTGCCTCGGTTGGTCCGAGATGACGTAGCTGTGAGTTGTAGAATGGGGACCACGAGAGAAGCCAGGATAAGAAGATAAACGAAGGACCCAGCCTTCCTTTTCTGGCCGGAGTGTGGATAGGTGACATTATCTAGGGAATAGCACCTAGAGACAAGCATCCACTCACTTGTTCAAGTTGTGTTTATTAACTCCGGGGCCAGATTGGTGAGGGGGTACAGCTGTAAGGTAGCTCAACACACGTGGTCTTACAGGGAGATGGGAGGTAAACGTGTAAGGATGTAACAAAGAAAACATACAGGTGGTGCTCGGTGTGGTGACACGGGTGAGGTGGGAGGGGAGGGGATGAGACGGAGCTGGCCGCACAGAGAGCCAGGAGGGGAATCTTCTGGGCACCAGGCCCCTGAGGGTGGAAAGCTTGGCCTGGTTGAGGGGCAGTGGCTGAGGCGCAGTTGGACAGGTGGCCGGGCACACGGGGCCTCGGGGCATGATGGCAGGGCTCTGCGTGTTTCCTCCCAGGGCGCTGGGAAGCACGGGAGGGCGTTAGGTGGTTGGTGACAAGGCCCCTCTGGCAGTGGTCTGCAGGCAGACTGGTGGGGTGAGATGGAAGCCAGGCATCTGAGATGGGGGTGGCTCAGAGGATGGGACAGGGACCGAAATGCACAGCTTAGGAGGCATCCAGAGACAGGGCCCTCGGAGGGCGGGGACTCTCTTGCTCGTAGCCCCTGCGCCCAGTGCAAGGCCTGGCACAGGACAGGCGCGCTCCCTAAGTAGGAGCTGGATGAATGAAATCCCTCCTCCCTTGTCTCCCCATGAGCTCTGAAAGGTGCTCTCAAATCTCCCACCGTGGTAGATTTCACCACGGTTTAGAACGTTAGATTCTAAAGGTTTTGGAAGAAACAAACATATAGACACTTTGGTCAAAGCTTCAGGAAAATGTCTGTGTTCGGTCCTCACCACAAGGGTGACCAAGCCCCACTGGTCAACCTGGAAACCAGACCCAGGAATCCTGACCAGGATAGGGTCCTGCAGGAGACCCGGCCCCCTACCTGCCCCACCAGGCGCTCTCCACACACCCCCTTGCAAGCCTTCAGGAATCGGGGCTAGGTTTCCCCTTGACTCCTCCAGGATTGGATCGGACCCTGACTCCTTAGCTTGCGGGGTCCTCGGGCTGCCACACAGGATGGTATGAGTCCCTGACACGACAGAGGGGCAGGGAGAAACCTGTTGCCAAGAAGCCTTGGTTTTTAACCGCCTCAGGAGTCTCACAGTGAAACAACTCGTGAGGGAAGAGAGTCACCCTCTTGCCTCCACTTCTGCGGTTCTCGGCTGGGTCTCGGCCCAGAAGAGCAGCCCTGGTGCCTTTCGATGGGCACATGAGGGAGTGAGGGCTTGGCCTGCCCATCAGGAGGAGGGCGGGGTGGAGAGGCCCACGTTGAGCTCACGGAGACCCCCAGTGACCAGAGGCAGGGCGTTTCTTGGGAAGTGGTGCAAACGTGCTTTCCACTGGTGTATGAAACCCACCTCTGCCTGGCTCCCTCATCGGGGCCGTGGGCACCCATGTCTGGGTCTGTATTAGAGTCTTTCCTGAACCGTTTCTGCCTTTTGCCACCTCTCTGTGACGAGCACAGTTAGATGGTGGTTCCTTGGAGCCATGCTCTGTCGTGCCAGACAGGAAGGGTTCTGTCTTCAGGCTGCAGACTCCAGACCCTTTCTGAAAGGGAGACACAGTTACTGTGCCAGAAATGTTATTTCACTAATTCTCACGAGGCCGTGAGGGGAAAGGGTGAGGCGAAGTCACTCTGGTTTCCAGGCAACACCAGAGCGCTGGAAAGGGTCATTTGGTACAAGTGGCGGAGGCGGAGTTGAGAAGGGAGGCCCTTGGAGGCCTTGCTCCTCCTGGCCATGTGGCCGAAGGTTTGCCCAGGATTGTGGGCTCGTAGCTTCCGGGAAGTTCGATTCAGCGTCTCTAACTCATCCCTAACCTGCATTTGTCACGGTCATATGGGTTCCGAGAGGGCTGTATCCCAGCCCCAGCTGAAGCGAGAGCACTGCCAGCCCAGTGCCTGCCCCAGCCCCGCCTCCTGCCCTCCTCGTACTTTTCGGGCTTCAGCTTGTGTCATGCCCTCACGATGTTCTTGTCCCTTTCAGCATGATGCGATCTTTGGGATCCTTAACAAAGTGAAGCCTTCCTACAAATCCTGCTCCGACTGCATGTACCCTGCAGCCAGCGGGATTCCCGAGGCCTTCGGGGAGCGATGCAAGAACCCCGGTGCTCCTGCCATCTGCACCCAGCCCACCTTCCTGCCCCACCTCACGTCTTCCCCCACGGCCCCTGTGGCCAGCAGGTCCCGAGCTTCAGAGAAACTGTCCTCTGGCCCAACCGAAACTCCCCCATTCCTACCACCAGCAGGCTCGAGGAGGCCAGACATCAGTGGCCCTGGGGCCGGGGCTGCCCCAGAGCTACCAGCCAGCCTTTTGGAACCTTCCAGAGAGACTCACAAAGTCCTACCAAAGTCCCTCCTTTTGAAGAGTTCTCACTGTGTTAAGAACGCTCCCAACATGGAAGTGGCAAAGGACGACTCGCCACCCAAGAAAGATCCGAAGCCAGCCAAGGACCTGCGGCTCCTCTTCAGTAAAGAAGCTGAGAGGCCGACAGCCAACAGCTACTTGATGCAGCACCAGGAATCCATCATCCAGCTGCAGAAGGCGGGCTTGGTCCGCAAGCACACCAAAGAGCTAGAGAGGCTGAAGCGCACGCCGGCCGGCCTGGCGGCCCCCTGCAAGGACAGCCCCACCGGCAGGCTGGAGGCCAGCATCCCCGAGGAGAACCAGGACCCGGCTCTGCCTGGCCAAGCCCAGGGCGATGAGAAGCCCGAGGCTGGCCCCCGTCCGTCAGAAGGAACCCCACTGAAGAGCCCCCCACTCTTCCTCTGCCGCCCAGACCACACCAGTCACTTCTCAAAAGACTTCCTGAAGACCATCTGCTACACCCCGACCTCATCCTCCATGAGCTCCACCCTGACCCGGAGCTCAAGCAGCGACAGCATCCACAGCGTCCGGGGGAAGCCCGGGCTGGTGAAGCAACGCACGCAGGAGATCGAGACGCGGCTCCGGCTGGCGGGCCTCACGGTCTCGTCCCCGCTCAAGCGCTCTCACTCCCTTGCCAAGCTCGGGAGCCTCAACCTCTCGACAGAGGACCTGTCCAGTGAGGCCGACGTGTCCACCGTGGCTGACTCCCAGGATGCCAGGTTGAGCGAGTCTTCCTTCTTGCATGAGCCCCCAGTGGCCCCCAGGAACCCAACTGCAACCTCTAAACCGTCAGGGAAATCTGCCCCGGAAAACTTGAAAAGCCCTTCGTGGATGAGCAAAAGCTGACCCGCCTTTGGCTGCGTTTGGACTTCTGTGATCCCTCCTTTAGTTTCACTGTGGATCTTGGTCCACCCCTCTTCTGTCTTGATTTCCTTTAAATAATTGGCGTCATCCTTACTTTTCCTCCCCTCTTGCGGCAAAGGGGAGAAGGAGAAACAACAATACGTAACATATGGCACAAGAAGAAAGGGGAGCATGGGTTTTGTGGCCTGGGGGAACCAGCAGCTGTTGACCAGTAGACTCTGACTCCAAATGCGGTGTTTCGGGTGCTTCTCGTGTGTTAAGAAGAGCATTTATACAGCGATGCACACACATCGAAAATCCTCTGGCACAGGGCTTCCCTGGTGGCGCGGTGGTTAAGAATCCGCCTGCCAATGCAGGGGACACGGGTTCGAGCCCTGGCCCAGGAAGATCCCACATGCCGCGGAGCAGCTAAGCCCGTGCGCCACAACTACCGAGCCTGCGCTCATAGAGCTCACGCTCTGCAACAAGAGAAGCCACAACAATAAGAAGCCCGCTCACCGCAGTGAAGAGCAGCCCCTGCTCGCCACAACTAGAGAAAGCCCGTGCACAGCAATGGAGACCCAACAGAGCCAAAAAAACAAAACATCCTCCGGCACAACCTGCAAAAGAATAGCTGCGGCATTGGCATCGCCACCACGGCACGTGTCCTAGCTCATTCAGGCCCTTCTGGGAAAACTCCTGGATGGCAGTAGAAGTCCTACCTCTGATCCTGCTCTGCTTTTTATTTTTAAACTCCAATAATGACCAAGGCTCATTCCAGGGAAAAATGCTGTGTCAGAAAAGATTTTTCCGAAAGAGAACTTTTTGTTGTGTGGCTGTCAGGACCCCAAAAAGTATTAAGACTTTTAAGGTGCCTGCACCAAACACTGCTAGTTAAAGTGACACGAAGGCACGAATGCTGTTGTCAGACCAACTCCAGGGTGAGTGGAGGTCCTCTGAGCAGTTGACTTGCCTGTCCTGGCGTGTTGTCACAGCTGAGTGACATGTGTCTGGCCGGACCTGGGGTGAGGTGGGGGGAAATGTGTGTGGGGTCCTCAGTTATTGCTAAAGGTCAGTCTTCAGTTGTCCCCCACCTGGGGAGAAGGACCCACAAAGTATCATTGAGTCTTATCTGCTGTGGAACCCAGTGCGGTCGTGTTGTGGTTCGTAGGGACTCAAGTGTCTGGCGGGGCCGGGGATTCTGAGATGTGGGTCACCCCGTCAGGAGCCCCAGCACTCAGGTTCATTAGGTCACATGTACTCATATTTGGGGAGGAAAAGGAGATTTTAGCAGTGAGGAACGCTCAGTCACTCTCAAGGAACAACTTAGCAGCAGCTTCTCTGAGAAGTGGGACTGGTGGAAGCCTTGGCAGATGTTTACAGTCGCCCCTTCCTGCGGTGAGAATGCTGCTTCCTGTTTCTCTGCGGCTCTTCCCAGTGGGCAGGACAGCACGTGGTCCTGAGTGGCTCTGGGAGTAGTCCCTCTAAGGATCTTGAGTGGAGGGACTCCTCTGATGTTGGCCGGCAAGACAGGGCGTTAAAATATTTTGGAGAGAGAGAAGAGGTCTGTTAAGTTTAGTTCGGGGGGGTCAGCAAACCATGGTGTACGGCCCCAAGAGCTAAGATTGTTTTTTACAGTTTTAAGGGATTATCAAAAAATTAACAAATAGGCGACAGAGACCATGTAGCCTGCAAAGCCTAAGCTAAGCTACCTTGCGATCAGGCTCTTTGTAGAAAACTTTTGCCGAGCCCTGGCCAGTGAAACTAGAAATCCTTCGAGGGCCAGCCAAATTCCAAACGTGGGTAAATGAGTCGCCATCTTACGTTGGTCAGAACTGGGCCCCCAAGAGTAGCCCAGGCAGGGTCTTCAGGAAGGCTAGTCCGTATTTCAACTAGTGGGTAGAGTTTTTGCAAAAACCCTCTCTCCGGAGACTTTTTCTCCCTGGCCTTATTTTTTTTTTATTAAAGTATACGTTATTTTACCCTGTCGGAATTTGTTTTCCCACCGCCGTCAATTGAAATCAGCTTAAAAGGTGATTATCCACTTATTGCGGAAAACCCAGTTGGGTTCCCTCCTCTCTCTCAGCCAACAAGAGCACAGTCTCAAAAAAATACATCAGGCTCAGTGTTTTGCCAAATTAAATTTCGTGTGGTGGATCAACTTTTGTGTCAAAATAATCCTTTAGATTTGATGATGCCAGGCTTATGTTGGTTTTTTAACCATGCCCGGGTATGATATAGTTTTGAAGACCTTAATTTTGAAAGCCATAATTTTTCTTACCCAGTTAAAGGGTGGGAGGAGGATTACGAATACTAGTGGGTCTTTGGCTTTTGGCAAAGTTATCCATTCGTTGTCAGGAGCTAGCCTATCAGTAGCGAAACAGACCAGGGCCCAGGTGCCCATCATCAGAGCAAAATGAAGCATTCTTGGTGGATGACGCTGTAGCCTGGAGAAGAGGCTGGAGGCTTTTCTCTGAGACCCAGGTCAGTGTCGCACAAACTTAACGGCAGATTTGCTATTTTAAATGTTAAACTAACAAGTCAAGAGCATTCTACCAGGCTTGGAGACACCTTGGCAAAGACAGATTCGTACCGGTCTCTGAAAAGAAAGCTTACACCGTAAGCTGTGCCACATCTTGACCAATGCTTCACCTGTAAGCTTAGCAGACGGGGGAAATTCCGAATGTGGGCGGCAGTGGTTTCTGCTGTGAAAGTCATTGATTTTGGTGACCGCCATCTTCGTGGAATGCCTTTGTGGAACTAGGCGAGAACAAAAGCTTTCTAAATCAGCTCAGTACCCTGTGAATTCAGCTGCATTTCGTCTTCCACCTCACCTTTCCCTCACTTGCACTCTCATTCACGTGGCATGCCAAAATTAGAGTGAACTCCTCTAGGTCTTCCTCTTGCATTGTTACAGGGAGGTCTTCTCATCAGGTTTTGTCGTGTCGAAGAGGAGAGGTGGTCACGGAGAGAGGGGAAACCGTGCTGCCCTTGATCGGGGCTTGACCTTGCCGGTCTCCACGTCTTTGTCTTGTAGCTGCTTCAGGGCCTTGGAGCAATGTGCATCATTCCATGAACTTCTTGAGAACAAGGTTCTTGCCCCCAGTCTTCCCTGCCTCCTTGGTCTCAGTGCAGGCACCAGTGCCAACCTCTCGGCTGCCAGACAGCTCTCTGCTGGGTGGAGGCACCCGGTCCATCAGGCGAGCAGGTTACTCTGTCCAGCTCCCTTCCGCTCCATCCCACCCTCTCTAGCTAAAAAGCATTCCAGCCCTTTCTAAAGCCTTCTCCCTCCTGGATAAGCCCAGAGGATGCCTGGGATGGAGCCAAAGAGGCCATAGAATTAACATCGTCAGGACAACCCTGTACGTTGGCACTGTGCACAGGTGCCATCCCAGGAGGCTGATGGATCCCCTGCTCCCCTGGGGCCCCTGCTCCCTAGTGAGAGGAAATGCTGTCATGTAGTCGAGAGCATGAGTAACCTCACCCAAAGTGTCCGAAGAGCGACTTGCTGTCTGTTGGCTGGAGACGCTTGGTGCCAGAACACATTTCCCAGAACCCTGTTCTGGCTCGCCACCCGGCAGGGCTTCCCCGCACCCACGCGGCCGGCACAGTGACGGCCGCCCCTTCACCTCCGGCAGGGGAGCCAGGCGGCCAGGAGATTTGTGACATCGGGACAGCGTGGTGCAGGGTCACCGGCTGCTGTCCCACCCCCAGCGTCTCCCCGATGCAGCATGCCAAATGAAGGTACTTATGGACCCCCGTGCTCAGCTACTTGGCCTTTTTATTGTCTGTTCTGCAGTTGAATACGTATGTGTATGAGTTCACTCTGCACAAATATATATATTTGAATCTATCTATCTATCTATCACTTGAATCAGAGCATCACGTGCATCCCTCCTCCCTCACGTACACGCACACTGTGTCACCCGAGCTATGAAGCGGGTCACCTTGAACGGTCTAGAGCGACGCAGTGCGGTGCTGCCCTCGGTGGGTGTGGATGTGACCACCTCGTCTTTGTGTTGCAGTGGGTGCTGCAGCCCCGGCCTGTGTCGGTCTCTTAGCAGGAGTCTTAGAACCAGTTCCCCGGTCCTCTGCTGTCCTTTCTGTTGGCCGCGCTGCTCACGGAGATGGCCGCTCCCTCCCTGCCTCCTTCCTGACACTGTAATTATTGTTTTACAATCGAGTGCCTTAATAATAGTTTACAAATACTGTGTATTTATGGGCAACCGTTAAGCTCTCGCCTTCTGTGATTGGATACTTTGCCTCGCCAGTGGTGGTTGGCGTTTTAGGGCTGGAGCTTGCCTGCCCCGTACTTGTGACGGTCTGTTGTGCGGCTTCTCTCACCTGCCCGCAGCCAGGCCAGGAGCGTTGCTAGAAACGGCGCTGGCGGTTTCTGCTGGCAAGGCGGGCACGGTTTCAGCCACGGCCCAGTCCGTAGTAAGCGAGGAAAGAACGGGATTGGTTTGCTGGCCAGCCGGGGGGTGGCGCAGTCCAGGCTCCCCCTGGACCGCAGCCCAGCCCCTCCCCTGTTCCCCGCATCATGCAACTGTACTCCTGTTCAGTAGAGTTTTTATTACCACCTAGGCCCCCCTGTTTTCCTCTCTACTGGTGTCCTGAGCTCTTTGCAACAAAATGCAGGTACAGACCGCCATCAGGAGCTCTACAAGATGGGCTGCCCTTTGGTTTTCAGAAGCCGCCAGTGGGTTCCATTGTGTTGTGTTATGATATCAATGATTTTTTTTATTATATTGTTTTTCTTCTTGTTTTTTTTTTATATTATATATTTAAAAGGCAGTATCTTTTGTACTGTGAATTTGCAGTAGAAAATGCATAATGCACTTTTTTTTTTTTTTTTACTTCTGTTGGTGTGTACTGTATATAGTCTGTGTGCTTCTTGTGATGAAAATAAACTTTTTCTTTATAAATGCCTGATGACCTCCAAACTTGTGCCAAAAAGCAACAGCCTCTTCAGCCCTTGCCAGGAGACTTGGCTGCAGCTTCGT